AACATATATTCACATCCTTATTTTTTAAGTTAAAAGACCTTTATTGTGGAAAATTTTAAGCCTTCATGTCACCTGTTTTTGGAAATTTATATTTCTTTGTGTATATCCAGGTTTGTCTGGTGTCATATTCTTTCTGCCTGAAGAACTTTCTTTAACATTTTTTGTAATTTTGGTTTGTTGCTTGTAAATCCTCTTAGGTTTTGTTTGTCTGGAAAAGTCTTCACTTCTGAGAGAGATTTTTCTCTGGGTATGAGATTCTAGGTAAATAGCTGCTTTTTAAATTCTTTCAGTAATTTTAAAGATGTCATTCCATGTTTTTTTTTTGCTTTGTATAGTTTCTGACAAGAAGTTTGCTTAATTTGGGTNTCACTTCTGAGAGAGATTTTTCTCTGGGTATGAGATTCTAGGTAAATAGCGTGCTGCTTTTTAAATTCTTTCAGTAATTTTAAAGATGTCATTCCATGGTTTTTTTTTGCTTTGTATAGTTTCTGACAAGAAGTTTGCTTAATTTGGGCTTCTTTGTATGTAATGTGTCTTTTCTCCCCTTTTGCTGCCATCAAGAGGATCTTTTTATCTTTGGTGTTCAACGGTTTGAATATAATACATGTAGGGTGGGTGTGTGTGCACATGTGTGTGCACGTGTGCACTCTTCCATGCATGTCTGTTATTCCGGTTTGTATTAATCCTGCTTGGGATTCTGTCTGAGCTTCTTGGGTCTGTGCTTTGATTTCTTTTATTATTTTGGAAAATTCTCAGCCATTATTTCATCTACTATTCCCTCTGCCCGATTCTATCTCCTTCTGGAATTCCAATTACACAAATATTAGATGATTTGGTATTGTCCTATAATTCTGGATGCTCTGTCCTGGTTTTCAAATTTTCACTTTTTTTTCTTTGTGTTTCACTTTGGATAATTTCTATTGACCTATGCTTGAGTATATTGATCCTTTCCTTGGCTGTGTTTAGTCTCCTGATGAGCCTGACCGTGCATTCTTCATTTCTGTTACCATATTTTTTATTTTCAGCATTTCCTTAACTCTTTCTTACATTTTCCATCTTTCTGCCAGCCTTTGAGAACTCAGGCTTCAGAAATAGTTTTTCCACTTATTTTCTCTGAACCTGGGTTTTCTTTTTTACAAAGTAAAAAAAGGGGGGATATATAATAATAACTAACAGTTGTTTTGAGGATCAAATGAGGTTCCTTGGGCAAGGCTCTTCTTTCCCTTCCCCAAGTCTCTGTGACTCTCATTGGAAAGGCTTGGGCTGTGTCATTACTTTGGTTCTATTTAGTTCCTAAATTGTATGATTCTGTGAAGCGAAAGGAACCTAACACTTATTGACAGCTTGTATTAATCTCATGTAGAATTTGAGAAAGTGATAAAAATCACATTTAAAAAGTGCTTTTGCAAAACATTTCACTTTTGCCAGGTCTGTGTGGATTTTAATAGGAAGAAATAGGCAGCATTAAATCCAGTTGCCACTTGGTTAAATCTGTTAAAGAATCATTAAAATTTTTCAACTGTTGGGTTTCCTGACTCGTTTGAGACATTTTATGGTTCATAAAACATCTCACTTTCTTTTCCTGTGCCTTTAGGATTTTAAATTGTTGGATTGGTTCCCAAATTTTGCAGTGTGAGAAAAAACACACTAATGGAAGTTTTTGCTCTTTACTGACAAGTGCAAATGAATGATATTCTCATCGGATTTGGCTTTGCAGTCACAGACGTGGGTTCAAATTCTGATTGCACAGCTGTGAAACCTTGGGCAGATTATTTAACTTTAGAGCCAGAGCGTCCGTATCTGTGAAATAGAGATGGGATGATACCTACTTCAGAGAGCAGTTTTGAAGGTGGATACATAATGTATGTAAAGCTTTGGGTAAAGTGCCTCATTAGTAGTAATCAATAACAGATGGTGTGAAAACAGTGGCTAAAATGAAATTTGCCACCATTAAGTCAAATTTTTAGTTAATATAAGCGGAAAGGCATCTTTTTCTGTTTTTCCCATTTCTCTTCCTGGAAAGGTCCATCTAGTAAAAGGATGGTTTAATAATAGGGAGAGGGTTAGCTGAAAAGCGAGTGTTGATGAATAAGACTAATAGCTGAGAATTAGAGCTCAGTATGTGACAGGGGCTCACATCTAATCCTCAGCACAGCCGGAGGAAGGAAGCTGCCTCTGCTCCGAGGAGCTTTTCTTTATCTGGGTGAGGGGGGCCACCCCCTCCTTTGTGTTTCTCCACTCTACTTTGTACCCTGTCACAGTTTTTTCTGTGTAACCCCTATCCCCTTTCCATTTCTCATCCCCACTGAAAGGTTTTTCTCTTCCCCAGAAGTGGCCCACAGTAAGTTGAATTGAATTGCTGAGATGTTGAATCTTTGTGCGTTTTTTTTCTGGTCAAGGCCGAAATCCTACTTTCTTTATGTTATAGATGAAAATTAAAGCATTGAAAAACCAAAGGTTGGTCTGAGGCAAAATATACTAAGAAAATCGTCATGGATAAAGAAATCAACCTGAGCCTCCCCCCACCTACCCCCCTCCCCCAGATCATACAGTTTGTTAAGATAAACAAATATAGTGTTTTAAAGTAGCTGTTGCTCTAGAAATTACCTTTGAGTAAATATTATGCATTTCAAAGCCGTGTCCAAATTCTGTGTTTCTAAGTAATTTTACTGTAATGGCTATTATTCAAGATTGAAGTTATTTAATACAAAGAAACATTCTTTATTCATACTGTGAGCAACTGTCATCCCAAACACAGCCCATAATATAGGCATTCTTATTTGAATAACACAGGAATAATGTCAAATTATTTTTGCAGGGTTTTTTTTTTCTTGTCATAACAAAGATTTTCACAAAACTGCATTCCTGATCATAGATTTTTTTTAGAATCGGAAGGAACCTACAAGATCCAATCTAATTCCTTCCTGCCACCCAGAGGTCTAAAGCAATTTGTCTGAAATCATGCAGCTAAGTAATGACAGGGCCAGGGAGAGAGCAGAGTCCCTTCTCCATTTGCCATCGCGCTACACTCTCTGGAAAAAACTGCCTACTCACTCTTGGCTTTTGACGCTGGAGTCTTGGGGTGAGGTTTTTTTCCATGACTAACTAGCGTTCTTTTGTTTTCTTGTGTGGGTGTCTGGGAGCCAGCTATCAGAGGTGGTGGTTGTTTTTCTGTTGTTATTGTTGAACAACTGAACCCTGTAAGGCAATAAACAAGGTAAAGGCATTTGCCTGGTTAGCACTTAAGGGGTCAGGACGAAGTGGTTGGAGCTCCAACTCTCTGCCCTCAATGTTGACAGGCAGGTATTTTAAGGTTGAGTTTCTTAACCTGGAATCTAAATTCGCTAAGTGTGTATGAAAATTATGCAAATATATGCTTACCTCTCAAAAAATGCATCTGCAGCTTTCATCAAGTTATCAAAGGGTACATAATTAAAAACTACTGTTTTTAAAAGGAGGGAAAGCTAAGCAAACCTGACTGAGGACTGGCTCCCACTCTCGCACTCTAAATTCTAATTATACCAGAGGGCTTCCTTATCTCCAACCCCCTTCCTTTGGTGCCTCTTCCTACAGACAGTCCTTCCCCAGATGGCTTCCTGCATCTTGTCGTGGAAGCCACTGGAGGCCCCAACTTTCTTTTTGCAGGAACTTTTCCATAGGTTTTCCAAGGCTCCCTTCTCTCTCCCTTCTCTGCTTATTGTTTCCAGGAGAGGAGATGAGACTCAGGAATTTTTGTTCACTAGAAAGTTCTAGAGTGTTACTTCAGTTACATTCTGGATAAAAGGAATTTGTGAGCTGACTTGAGAACCAAGACAGTTGCTAAAGAAAAAAAATGTAAGCCCTGGCCAGGTGGCTCCGTTGGCTGGAGTGTCGTCCTGTATTTCAAAAGGTTGTGGGGTTCAATTCCTGGTCAGGGCACATGTCTAGGTGGGGGGTTCGATCCCTGGTTGGCGCACGTGTGGGAGGCCGCCAGTCCATGTTCCTCTCTCTCTCTCTCTGTCTCTCTCTGCCCCCTCTAAACATATCTTCCAGTGAGGATTAAAAAGAAAAAATGTAATCAGAATTTCAATCTAGTACTTTGCAAATTAACTTTTAGAATGCCTCTAGTTCTTTAGTTAGGCAAACTGTGTTTGAAATAGAAACTCTTGACATTTTCCAGAAACAGACTGAAAATTTATGGATTGTGATTTCAGAGTTGCCCAGATCTGTCTGTAAAATTGTCTTAATTTAGTTTTTCCCCCCCTTGAATTTTGTAAGACTTAGAAGAACGTACCTCTGAATAGGAATTCATTTTAATGGGCTTCCTTCCTAGGAAAGAACATAGAGAAAGCACATTCTAAATGTTTAAATCCGGGTTCTGGACACACTAAGAAAAAGCCACCACTCAGATGGAAGTTGGAAGAATTTGTCCATTTGTTTATTCATATTACAGACCCCATACCGAGTCCCTGCCATGAACCCGTGGGCATCCTGTTAGGTGCTGCGAAATGAGAAGTGGTAGCTTCCCTTGCGAAGCTCGCGATCTGCTGGGGACACAGCTCAGCACATAACAGTGGGCGCGCTGAGTGCGCTCCTGGGGTTCCCAGGGAAGCCTCGCCGTCGGTGCTCTGCCCGGCGGGAAGAGGGGTGGCGGGGAGGGTGCCCTTCCCTGAGCGCTGACCGACACTGAAACTGCGCCTTAAACGTTCGCTAGAAACTGGTCGGGCCAAGATGGGATCTAGGGCCCTGGCCACTGTGGCTCGGTTGGTTGAGCAATGCCCCATGTACTGGAAGGTCACTGGTTTGCAGCCCACCTACCAGGCTGTGGATTCCCTCCCCGGTCGGGGCACGTGCGCTCGATGTTTCTCTCTCCCTCTCCTTCCTCTCTCTCCCTAAAGTGAATAAAGACATTAAAGAGGGGGGGCGGACCTAGGTATAAATGGTAGGTTTGTGCTTTCCTAATTTGAACTAAGTCTGACATTTGCCATTCCCGTGTCTTATGTTTTCAATTAGAGCTCCAAGCGAGAATGGAAGCCCCTGGAGGACCGTAGCTGCACAGACATCCCGTGGCTGCTGCTCTTCACCCTGTTCTGCATTGGGATGGTAAGGAGGCTCGCGGCCAGAGCCCGGACTCGTGGCCCAAGGGAAAGGCGGGGAGTTGGTTTAAAGAGGGAGCTTGTTATTTATTTATTTATTTATTTATGTATTTATTTATTTTTTAATTCCTCCTGAATTGCTTATATAATTGGAGGTTATAGGATACCAATGAAGCATGTTATTTTTCTGCCATACTATTTACTGGTACCCCTTGATTTTTTTTTTTTTTTTTTGGTATACATTAAAACAGATCAAGAGCCCTGGCTGAGTAGCTCAGGTGGCTGGAGCGTCATCCCAATACGCCAAGGTTGTAGGTTCAATCCCTGGTTAGGGCACATATAAGAAGCAACCGACGAAAGTGTAAATAAGTGGAACAACAAATCGATGTTTTTCTCTCTCTCTCTTTCTCTTCCGCTCTCTCTCTAAAAATCAATTTAAAAAAAAAGACATCATCAAAATTTAAGGAGCAGTTGGAACTATATCTCTTTGACTAGTGATCATTTCAGAAAGCCAGATTTAAAAAATTTTTTTAATCCTTACCTGAGGATATGTTTTTATTTTTAGAGAGAGAAAGAGAGAGAGAGGGAGAGAGAAACATTGGTGTGAGAGAGAAACATTGATCGGTTGCCCCAACCAGGGATTGAGCCTGCAACCTTTTTGTGCACGGGATACACTCCAGCCAACTGAGCTACCCGGCCAGGGCAGAAAGCCAGATCATTTGACATCAGTTTCTGTGAACTCTGATCTTGATTGTGTGGAAAGCAGAACACTGGCCAGGGAATCAAGGGTCCTGAGTATTTATCCAACTCAGTTACACAAATCTGATGATTATTTTTATGTCAGTCAGCTTTCCTCTCAGGGACTCGCTGTTCCTTTGTCTAGGTTTTGCTAGACAATATCTACAGTGCTTCCAGTCCTGACATTTTCAGCTCTTCCTAGATGCGGAGCTGGTTGCTCACTGCTCCTTCCTCCTGCCCACACTAGGCCCCTGCTCTCTGCTGTATCTCCTGTAATAGGTGGCATCTCTCAGTGGAGATCAAGGAATCTGGTGACTTTCCAGTGGGTGTAGAGGGCACAGGAGCAGAGTCCCTGGTGCGAAGTGTGGAGAATGTCCCTATCCAAATTGTAAATCTGCCCTGCAGTAGTTTCTGAGACAGGCTTCAGGGACTTTAAAGTCACTGCCTGTGTGCTGGGCTGGAAGAAAGATAGAAAACAGCTGTTTTAGAGCTAACTGATGTCTAGAGCTAGAAAAGACTTGGAAATCCTTATCTGGTCTGTCACCCTTGTTTTGCAGATTAAAAACAACATCAGATCCAGAGATGGATATGACCATCCCAGGGCCGCACTGCTAGTTAATGGCAGAGCTGGGAACAGAGCCCCAGTCTCATAACTTCTAGGCTGGTACTCCTTCCAACACCTTGTTCCTTCCTCCCCAAGGGGACTGTGCAGACAGTATTGCTCTCTTTCATAGTCTTTACAGTTCAAAACACAATGCTGCTACCTCAGGCAGCCCTTTTCCCACGTATGTGTAGTATTTTTAACTGCCCCTTTTCCATACCTTTTATAGAGGTTTTTTAGGAAAATCTTATTCTGTGTCTCTCTGTAACCACCCACCTCAAAAATGCCATTTGAGAATCACAGAACAACCCTATTCTTGCCTACTAGGCCTAATTGTAGGTACCAGTTCTGCCCCTGAACCAAGGAAAAGAAAGCAGTAAATTTTAATGAGATATAGTAAATCCAGCAAAATAAGGAATATTCATTTTAAAGATAGTAGACGGCTGAGTTTCAGCAAACCTAGCATATGTAAAAAAGTCAAAATACTATTTTCTAGCTCAGGACTTCTAAGATAGTGGTCAAGAGTCCACTTAGTTCAATGGAGTGGCAACTGACATGCAGCAGACATAAATATGCATGGGGACTGGGAAAGAGTCTTTGCTCACAGAATTAGCCTGCAGCCTGTCCCCACCCCCTGAATTTAACCCTTGGACAATTAGCAGCTGACCTCTCAAAATTATGTTTATAAAAACATGTATCTGCCACCCAAGGTGTTTTTGATTTTTCTGTGCCAAAATAGCTCAAGAAAGTGCAGTCATTAATGTTAATAGGCTGGCGTGGGAGTGTCTTGAGAGTAAGGAGCTGTTTGCTTCCTGAAATGGTTTAATGCAATGGTAATTAATATAATGTTGATCTTAGTGCAGTGATAATTAAAACCCCCTATATGTACTCTTAAATATAGGCATAGCATTATTTTTTTTTTGGAATGATTCTCTTAGTAGATTACCACCTTCATGGAGTTGAGCTAACATCAAATTTTGCCCTGTGAAACTAGAGGAATCTCAAAGTGCTGTTGCCCACTCTACTGGCAAAACAGTAGTCCAAAGTTTGTCTTCTAAGTATTTATTTTATAAGTTTTTTTAAAGTTTTTCTTTTTTCTTTTGGATTTCGTTCTATTATTACTTTGAAGAGAACAGTCAACAAACATTGAGAATTAACTTGTGCTTGAGGCTTTCATATATCTCATTAAATTCTCCCAATTATCCTGAGGTAGGGTTTATCCCCAGTTTACAGACAAGGTATAGCTAGATCAAATATTAGCTTGTCTAAGAATGTAATGATGGTAATAAGTCGCAAAGATAGAGTAGAAACTGGAACTTTCTGCTATATTCTTCTCACACTGTGGCCCAGCAGCTGCTTCTTTCAGAATCTTCTTTCTCGGTCATCTTGCAGCCTGATATCCAAACCATATCTGTATTTACTACCTTTGCTTGCAGCTCTTTGCTCACTCATTGAAATATTTTAAGATTTTGTTATCTTTCACTCATCCTCTCCATTAAATATTTCTATTTATACAAGTTCATTTTCCCCCTATAAATATTTGTACTTCTCTTTTATTTCCTTCCTTACTTTCCGGGTTTTTCCATGCTTGAGTTGTCTAGAACTTAGGTTATTTTTCAAAATAAATTGCTATTGGCCTTTTTGAGAGGTGATAACCTTCCACATGAACTTTCATCAGTATGTTGAGATTCTTGGACATAGGCTTACCCTGCTCTAAAAAAATTACATGTAACAATGTACTTCTAAATGTTTATTTTTCATGAAAGTCATACAGAATGGTTCTCACCCCTGCCTGCACATTAGAATCATCTGGGATCTTTTAAAAAGTACTCGTTCCTGGGCCCCACTTCAGTGATTCTGATTTAATCTCTGTGATTCTAATGTTCAGCTGGGGTTGAGACCCACTGATAAACCACTAAAGAGTTTTGAGCAAGAACTGATAAGATTGGATTTCGAGAGAGAGCCTTGGTGGTCCATGTTAAAGAAGCTTGTAGAGCCGTTGTAGAGGAGGAAGAGATCCAGGCAGAGCATGGTGGTGGCTGACGCAATAGTCCAGAGAAGTCCAGAGGAGAGGTGGAAAACCTGAAATAAGAAGAGGAGGAGAGAGATTTAAAAAGTAAGATTTGAGTCATCAGTGTTGCAGGCGAGCCAGAGACAGATTAAGGGTGACTAAGAGGCTCTTGTGTTAGAAGTTCAGAGTAGGGCTTTTCTGTTCAAATCCTACATTATCTCCTCCTAGCTTCTAAACTACGGCTTCTGTACACACGAGGGGACAAGAATGGGATGGATAAACAAAGTGTTACTTTATTAGTAGCTGAGCAGACACCTGATTATTATATCCAATAAAGTACTCCATTGTAAAAATGACGTGTGGAATAAAGCTTGGGCTAAAGGTCCTTCCCATCTTCGATGGTCTAGCTTCATTCTGTCTCAAGGAGAATATGTGAGGAGAGAAAAGAGGTCCCTCTGCACCGAATCCGCCAGATCAACTTACCATAAAAAAGCAGGAAAGAGGAGGGGAAGCTTGGTAGGTGTTTACCATGGAAAATGGAAGCTACTGAGACCCCCTGAAAGTTACCCCTGATATTGCTGCTTACTGTGTACTAGGTACTGTTCTCTGCACTTGACACAGAAACATATTTAATTTTCAGAACTGCTCAGTGAAATGGACATTATCATCATCATTCCCATTTTACAGATAAGGCAACAGAGGCATGGAGCTATGTTACATAACTTGTCTAGGTTGCACAGTGGCGACCGTGGAACGCAGGAGAGAGGAGGAGGAAGGTGAGGCTTCAAGAGATGATCCCTTTTTTGTTGCCTGGAACTGGGAACAAAAGGGGAAGTTGTTCAGAACATGGACCTGTAGGACACACCTCACCTTCCAGTAAAATGTGGTCTAATCAGACTCTGAGCAAACAGTTGAGCATCGCCACTCCCTCTAGTATCGTTAGGAAGCTGGGTGATGGCCAGAAGCGTGGAGTGGGGGAACTGAGACATCTCACTCTGTAGCTGGCATGTGCAGTCTAATAAATAATGATGCTCCAAGAGGGGAGAGGGTATGTGCAGGAGAGGGAATGGTTTCGCGAGATCACAAAGGAGAAGATGACTTTGACATAAAATGTATGGGTAAGGGTAAGCGATTGGTAATGCAGAGTTGGGGTTTGGGAGAACGACCTGGACTTGAGCTGGATTAGGAGACATCATTGCATAGTTTGTCCCTTCGGACAGCTCTCAAGGACCTTTTTTATTTTATAGCATGAGTCTAGCTCCCAGAGCACAGTGTTTCTACCTCATTAACTGTTGTTGATAGCAGCACAGAGTGAGAGACTCAGCCTCACTGCGGCATTTGGTCACCTGTGTGATGGCCTGTGCATGGCCAGGATCGTAGGAGAGGAAGGACATTGTGCCAAGAACTACCTTAAGGTTACCTGGTCCCGATGGCTACGTACTTCCTGTTAAATCCTCTGGTGGTTTTGGGGTTTTTTTCTTTTTAAAAAAATTGTGGTAAAATATACATAACATAAAATTTACCATTTTTACTATTTTTAAGTGTACAGTTTAGTTAAATCCATTTTACTTTTAGTCTGCTCTTGATCTCTCCCTCCCCCACCTCAGTGACTATAGTGGACCAAGTGGGTTTATACTTACTTCTCTCTGCAAGTATA